AAATTAAGCTCAGAAAGTTGGAGGGAAGGGTTTTTGTTCTTTTTTTTTTTTTTTTTGCTTCCTCACAACACTCCCCTTCCCACCATATGTCCTTGTATTGACAGACAGTGGTGTTTCCCCCTCTGTCAGTTCCATCAAGTCAGTATAAAGTAACAGACAAATCTCCTTTCACCTGATGAGACTCAACTAGCATTTTTGGACTGCCCTTTTAACAGGAAAGCAGATATATTGAAAATGTCAGTTGATTACAAGTACACCAAAGCGTAAAGCTGAAGCGCTAAACTAATCCTTACCGAGAAATGCAGTACTACACACAGCAGTGCACTTAGACAAGCACACAGACAGGAGACCAACTGCAACCTGGCAGAGCCACAGCACAGGGATGAGTTGGTGGGCACAAACTGAAGTAAGCCCATTTGCTCACCAGGCAAGGGTCTTTACCTCCTACAATGAAAGTGAACATGTCCAAACTGATACGCACACATCGATCTGACAAATTTGCTACTGTCAATTCACAACAGCAGTGTATGTTAACATACCAATTTTAGAAGTCCTTTGTGGGCACTGATAGCTGCAGTCAACTTTCTGTTTTATTCAACCAGTTCCCATTTGCTAAAGACATAATTCATTTTGCCCATATTAGAATAACAACAGAGCATTAATACACAGTGAAAGATAGTATGTAGCTTACCACTTGCTAAGGACAAGGATTAATCTTCTCCTCCTCTTCTTTTTTTATCTTATTCTCTTCTATTTTCTTTGTTTTCTTATCTATATTATTGGTTGCATTTTCACTGGCTATTTGAACACTGCTTCATACCTAACCTGCTACGAACACTCTTTGCTTCCTGACTGCCTTCTTGTTCTCCAAATTCCATTCTTTGTGGTTCCTTAAGCAAACTGCCATGGATACTCATACCTCATCACAGAGGTACTCATTTCCCTCACTTGCTCTGCACATCTCACCTCCCTGGATAAGTAAGTCCACCTGCCAGCCTTTTCCTTACCCGCTACCCCCAAGGCCACCACCAGCCCATCTGCACACAGACTCATGAGCCCACTCACTGCTGGCATGGCTCTGACCACAGAGCAGAGTCAGTGCCCACACTGTGCTCCATTCAGAATCAGCCCGGAGGCACCAGGGTCTTGTCTCCTCTTTCTGCTGCCAGGAGCTGCCCAGCTCATTCCCCCCACACACAGAGGCAGCAGAACCAGAAACAGCAAGTACTCTGAGAGGCCCTGGCTTGCCTCCAGCACTCTTGGGATGTTAAATGCAGGAGTTGGATGCAGAACACAGTCACCAGCACTTCAGCTCTTGCTTGGCTCTAGAGATATGGTGACTGACTCCTCAGTTCTCAGTTAGAATTCAAATTTATATACACCTTTGAATTAATTAAATTTCTGATTTTTATAGCATAATTTTTCAAAGGATAACTTTCTACCCAACATCAGCAGTAAAGAGCATCACTAATTCAGTCAATAGAATCATATAATGGCCTAGGTTGAAAAGGATCACAATGATAACTTAGTTCCAGCCCCCTGCTATGTGCAGGTCGCCAACCAGCAGACCAGGCTGCCCAGAGCCACATCCAGCCTGGCCTTGAATGCATCCAGGGATGGGGCATCCACAACCTGCTTGGGCAACCTGTTCCAGTGCCTCATCACCCTCTGGGTTAAAAACTTCCTCCTAAACCTTCCCTGTCTCAGTTTAAAACCATTCCCCCTTGTCCTATCACTACCCACCCTCGTAAACAGCCGTTCCCCCTCCTGTTTATACTCTCCCTTCAAGATCTGGAAGGCCACAATGAGGTCCCCCCAGAGCCTTCTCTTTTCCAAGTTAAACAAGCCCAGTTCCCTCAACCTTCCTTCACAGTAGAAGAATGCAAAATTGCTCAGACTACTGTTTTGTGTTTTCATTTTTACATTTCCTAAAACCACTCTCAAAGTGGGATATCTTACTTCCCACAGAACCTCTGTTTCACCCACAGTGAAATGAGGACACCAAATATACAAGACTGTTTCTGGGTTTCTACTGTTGCACATGACTAAGAGGGAAAGCAATTTCTCATGCCATAGGTCACCAGTGCATCAAAACAGGTCACTATTTGTCCACACACACACACACACACACACAAAAAAAAAAAGAAGTAAAACCTATTTTCAATACTTAAGATTCCAGCCCTCCTTTGTCTCTGACCTGTCAACCGTGCACTGAACACAGCGCTACGAACCGCACTTGCCAGGGGGACGCTCTGGGAAGGAATGAAGTTCCCAGGTGCATGGGCACCAATGGCAAACGCCATCAGCCAGGGAGACATGGGAATGAAGCTGGACATGCAGAACAGGAAGGGCTCAAAGACCTGAAGCACCACTTTGCTTGACTGCAAGGCTTGAGGGCCTCCAGAAACCAGCACTGTCTGAGGAGCAAGAGCTTTGCGGCCATGCCAGCTGTGGCAGCAGCTCCCCTCTTCCAACCACTCGCTCCTATTGCCTCCCTTACAGCATTAGTTGCACAAGTTGGCTTTGAGAATGCTTCTGGCTGAAAATTAACTCATCAAAACTTTTTTTTTAACTGTAATTACTCCGCAGTTTAATGACTTCCCTGCTCTACCTTGTCATACCATTTAAGCCAATTAAAGCAATACTGAAGCAGTCCTACTTATTTTTGTCCCCACCCAGCAACGCATTCCTGAGCATTCCTTGCATTAACACTCACCCAGCCCAGCAAATGCTGAGCATCCAAAAGAGAAAACTTGATGCATTGCTTTCAGATGATTTGTTTTGCAGCATTCAGCTTGCAAAGACACTGGTGTCAGTAGGGAGCAAGCACCAGAGAGAGCTGGGGATGAGGCCGTGGCACTATGCAGGGCAGCAGCACCTGTGTGGGTGCCACCAAGCCAGAAAGAGCCACCTGCAGAGCCAAACAGCCCTACCTGCCCCAGCTTTCCTCTTGTGCAGTCAGGGTCCTGGTCAGGAGGTCCCTACCAGCTTCAGGACTTCTACACCACTGTGGCAGCCACGTGCTCACCTCTGCCACAAGGACTCCTGGAGCCACCTGGGGTCCCTAGGCCTCAGCTCATCCCAGGGCACCTCAACACATCTGTTCACTTAAGGAAGAAAAAAAACAACTATTTATTTAACACCAGATTTCACTGCAAACACTTGCATATCATCAAAATGGTCTGTCTCCATGAATTCACACCTAAAAAGGCACTTCAAAGGAACTACAAAGGAAACGACTATCCTCCCTCACAGGATATTTCTGTCACTGCAAACTTACACTGCATCACAGATCCTCATGTCAGCACAGAACTAACCTCAGCCCTGAAGATACATGGGATTCACAGCAATGATTCATAAATATGGGTCAAGTGGAAATCAAGGGGGCAATACAAAAGTTATAACAGCACTGCAAGATGGCAATTTCTGGTCTTAGCAAAACTGCACTTTCAGTCAAGGTTTTTACCCATGTACTTTACATTGAGAGGTCTGAGATTGTGGTTTTTGAAGGGTACTGTAAACACATACGGTATCACCTTCCCAGCACCCAACAGGTACTTCCTTGGTCTGACAAACATGGGACCTTCACACACAGATCTGGTTCCAAGAATACCAAACTCTGCAGTTTATGTAATCAGCTCTCCACCCAAACAGGTCCCCGTCAGCCTCCACATCGGTGTCACCTGCCCCAGCAGCACAGAACAGACTTATAGCAAACTGTGCTCTTCTGCCATCACCACAAAGAGCGCAACCTCCCCTTCTGGTCTCCTCTAAAAAGGAAAGCGCAGATTCCTTACTACCACCATCCTTGCATTAAACTAAAAAGTCATAAACCCGCACTGTGTGGCCGCAGTCTGACACCAGTTAAAATGCTGCTCGAGCAGGGAGTATTTTTTAGAGGTGTAGCTTTAAAGAGAAAACTCCTAAGGTATTCACTGTGACTTTCCGAAAAGTGAATACCCACGGTTTTTGCAAGAATACTCTGCTACCAGCAAGTGCGGACGGGAATGCTGGCAACGTTACCCTGCAGTAATAACCATACATTTCCATAAAACAAACAACAACAGCAAAATTAACCACAAGTTCACCATTAAACTGTTTTTACTTAAACATCTGTCTGCAAACAAACACACAGAGACACGCAGGCCCAGGAGGCGCGGAGCAGCAGGGAGGATCCCGGCTCGGTGCCGCAGCAGAACGCGGCGCTCCTCGGGCTGCGGCCCACCCTCCCCGGGCTCGGTCCGCGGCGCATCCCGGCGCGTTCCTCCCGCCACGCCGACCCCCAGCGCCAAGTTCTACTCGGGCAGCGCCGCACACACACGGCACGGCCGCAGCCCGCGGGCTGACGCGGCGTTTCGCCACCCGGGGACCGGGGAGATCCACGCAGGGCGCGACGCGCGGCGCGCCCGAGGGGAGCCGGAGCGAGACCCCGAGACCCCCGGCCTTTGTGTGGCTCCTCGCGGCCTCTCCTTCCCCGGCCCCTCCCCAGGGAGCCGGCCGCCCGGGGCCGCAGCGCCGCAGAAGAGCGCACCGAGGCGGCGGCCGAGCGCGGCGCCCGGCGGGCGGAGCCGCCCGTCCTCCCGGGGAGCCCCGGGGCCGCGGCCCGGCACGGCGGGAGCGGCGAGGGGGAGGCCTCGGCCCCGGGGGGGGGTGGATCCCGGCGCCGGGCCGCAGGCCCCGGCCCGCCCGAGGAGGGCCCGGCGCGGGGGGCACGGGGCGGCCGGCGCCGCCGACCCCGCGGGAGAAGCCCTCGGCAGCGCCCGCCCCGCTCGCGCGCAGCCCGCGGAGCCCGCCGCGCCCCGGAGGAAGCGCCCCGCCCGCCCCGGAGCCGGCGGCGCCGGGCCCAGACGGAGCCGCGGGGTCGCCGCGCGACGGCCGCCGCCCCCCGGGCCGCCCTCGGAGGCCGCCGGAGCCGCAGGCGGAGCGGGGCCGCGCCGAGGCCTAGAGCGGGGAGCGCCGCCCGGCCCGGAAGCGGCGCGGCCTAGCGCGGGGCTGCTTACCCTGCATGCTGCTGACGGCCGCGTGCGCCGGCGGCCCGCCCGGGCCCGGCCCGCTCCCTCCGCCCGAGCCGGAGCCGCTGCTGGGGCTGGGAGTCGCCATTGTGTGCGCCAGAGACGGAGCGGCGCGGAGGCTGCAATGCAGCAGGGACCCTCCCAGGCAGGACACCTAGAGCCCCGCCGCCGTATAGCAGGCGCCGGAGCCTCCCCGTCCGCCGTCCGCCCCCGGGCTGGGGCTCCCGCTTAACCCCTCCCAGGCGGGGCGCCCGCGGCCGCCCAGGCTGCGTTCGGCGGCGGCGGCGCGGGCCCGGGCCGCTGCCTTCCCCGTGAGGCCGACGGCCGGGCCCGGGGTCTGCCGCCCCCCGCCCCGCTCCTCGCTTCCAGGGCAGCCACTCCCCGCCGCCGTGCCCCTGCCCCGCGCCGCCGGGTCGCTCGGCGTTGCGTCCTGCCCGGCCGCCCGCCCCCGCGTCCGCTCCCTTCCCCCGGCGGGCAGCGCCCGGCTGCGGGTGGGCAGCCGCGTGTAGCTGGTGCCCGCGTCCCCTGGCCGGGGTCCCCACCCCCTGCACCGCTGTGCTGCGTCCCGCTTGCTTTCTCCTGCAGCGCTTCCCACCGTTCCTCACTCCCGCCAGGAGTGGCCATCATCCCCTTTGCGCTACTGCGTGCCCTCCAGGAGCCCCGTGTGTGCCGTGATCCCAATGCGACGGTGAACCCCACTGTTTCACCCAAAGAACTTGTTTGACCGGGAGTGCCCAACCTTCTCATTTCCCTGGTCTCTCATCTCCCCCTCGGATCGGGCTGGCAGTTTGACCAAGCAGTACCACATTTCGCAATACACAACCCCTTCCCTCACACTGGTATCTACCTGCCGACCTGTCTTCTCATGACTTACCTGAAACCTCTTCCCTGCAGAGCTTAACTTCATCCTGTGTTTTCCATTACAGCCAGGGCAACAACCTCCTTCTGCTGCCACTGTCATCACCATCATCATTTTATTTCCTCCATTAGCTGCTGTTAATTCCAGCATGTTGCATCTGCTTTGTTTCTGATCCTACCTCTAGTTCCAGTCTTAGTATAAGTAACAGCACCATGCACCAGGGAGTGGAGCAGTAAGATTTTTCCCAGAAGAAAAGGGCTATCTTTCCAGCCCACCTCCTTCAACTACAGTAGTCCCTGTTTCTTCATCACAGAAATAATACTGATTTCCTTTATAACTTGAGATCCATTGATGAAAGAGCTGTTCCTGACCATCTACCCTTTCAGCTCCATCCTTTTCACACCAAAAGGACTGCAGTCAGCTTTCTCCATCACTGACATGGCTTCCCTGGGCAAATGCCAGAGAGCACTCCTCATGCACTCAGGCTCACATCCCAGTGACATGTTTGCTGGGTTTGATCTTAGGCTCCAACCCATCCTATCCTGGCCGCTACATCCTCTGGAGTCATTGCTAACTCTCTTAAAGCTGCATGTACATTCCATTCTCTTTGCTGCTTTGGAGGGAGAGAAACAGGAAGCCTGCACACACACAGCTTCCCACAAAGGACTTCCTGCATGTGGTCTGCACAGGCACCACTGGTGGCAATGGTGCCACCTCTTGTGGCAAGTCAGTGCTGGCATTCAGACCAGTCTGCAACAGAGACGACAGCCCCTGCTGCATGCAACAGCACGAGCACGCGTCTCCAGGAGATGTATCCTTATCCTCTGCTCCTTTATTCCCAGAGCAGACTCCTCATTCCCATCAGAGTGGGACCCCAGAACTATGGCTCTGCTTCCTCAACATCAGGGAGCACACAGGACTGCAAAGAGGAGTCTCTGCACATTGGCTTTGCAAAGAGGAGTCACCTGACTGGAGCCAAACACCGCAGACAGACAGCAGTCTCTACAGCAAGAGCCCAGGGCTGAGCAAGGCAAGCAGGGCAGGTGCTGTGACAGCAACCAGACTGAGCTAAGATGCCAAACTGCCAGGCAAGATAAATGCAATGAGGAGAGCTGAAGAAAAGATGGGAAGTCAAGTCCCCAGGTCATCATCTGGCTCAGTGGAACAGGGCAACAATGCAGCTGCAACACTGGTCAGATGGAACCTGAGTAAAAGCCCTGATTTAAAAGCAGCACAGAAAGGAAGAATTCAAGACTCACCTGAGGATTCTTCCAGCTTTTTTTTATTTTTTATTTTCCTTTTCTTCAGTGTTACAAAGCCAGCTGGTGCTGGTTTTGAAAAGCTTTCTTTTTTCACCCATGTGAACTTATGTATAGAGTTAAAGGCTTGTGGGGGTCATGTGTAGTCCAGTCCCTGGCACTGAAGACATCTCCCCTAATTCCACAACCTTCCTTTCTCTTCCCTCTCCTTAAGCTTTCTCTTCTGCCCTAACCAAGAGTGCAAGCCCAAAGCTGACATTTTATGAGTCACAATAAAAAAACCCAGTGCCTGCTGGAAAACAGTCAAAAGCTGACAGCTGGCTGCCACCTCTGCTTCAGATCACCTGCATCTGGTTTGCATAGGTAAAGATTATATTGCTTATCTTGTTTTGCCCTGCAAATCTAGGAGGATGAACAATACCTGTCCTGAGAAATGTTTAAGAAACCTGGTCTTAAAGTGATGGAAATTGCATCATCCCCAGAGCAATCTGCTCTGTCACTCTACTATTTTGACATTAGCTGAAAGCCTAACTTAAGCTTTTTTGTTGGAGCTGAAATCCTTACATCCCTTCCTGTTCACTACAGCAATGCAAGACAAGTAATTCCCTTCTTTGAAATGACCTGTAAGGCAATTGGTGACTGTTTCCCTTCCCCTTTTCGCTCTGGCTTTCTCTTCTACAGACTGCACCAATCCAATTCTTTCAGCCTTTTTTCATGTTTTCTGTGCTTCCCAGAATCCCCACTGTACTCCTTTGACTTCCTTTTGATGATCTGCATTTTTTTTTAAATAGTGTCCCTGTGTAGGCACACTACTGCAGCTTATCCTGCTTTCCTGGATGATGTGTGCCTTTACTATCACCAGTATTCAGCTTGCTCACCATTATACCTCTAGACTTTTTTTTTTTTAATCCTCTATCTAGTTGTTTCTTCACTAGTGTTTGTGTTGCTCATCATAATACTTGAGGCTGTACCTGTTGAATCCTGGCTCTTTCCACCATTTGTCAGTTTGGCACCGAACACTGCTGGTTTTGTTGCCCTTCATGGTGGTGGATTTGGGGTTATCTGCGGACGTTATAAGGTACTCTCGAGTGTGAATCAGGCAAAGAGAACTGTGGTCAGAAAATACTTTCAATATGTTCTTCTATTTTAACAGTCACTGATAATTAGCCCTTAAGGTACAGTTTTCCCACCAGTGTAGTCATATCTTCTTGAGAATCAGGTCAGCTGATGTTAAAACCTACCTAAAGTTAATGTACATAGACCCACTACTTTATGAAAAAATAATAATGAAAAAAACTGTGTTATGCTGGAACATTAGAGTGCATTTTTTTGCTAAGAAGTTCATAATAGCTGTGCAATCCTTTGTTATATTCTAGGTACATACAAGAGCCTTGTTCAGTGGGATGCTCCAGAACTTTGCTGGGTACTGAGAAGGTCTTTAAATTAGAATTATAGACAGCATCTGGCAAAAGCATAAGGTGGGTCAGCTTGTGTGAGCTCTGCAAAATAATGAGGTAGGAAAAGGGTTGTTAACATAGAATTAAAATAAGGGCAAAAAGGAGGCTTATCTATTGAACACTTCAGATGTTTAGAACACTTTAGATGTTCAAACTCTGAAGTCAGCAAAGCAGTGAATATGAGGTTCTTCTCCTTCTCACTAAGGTGGATTCCATCCTTCCATCCTCATGGGACACAGCCCATCAGTTAATGCAAATAAAGCCAAAGCCTGTATGGCCATGCATTTATCTCCAGTATTTTCCCTATTTGAGCTTCAGTCAGAATCTTTGGGCCAGGGATGCACTAAGTCCTCCAAGCTCTTCCTCATTCCACCTTTCCACCCGGACCTCTTAACCAGTTGTGATCCAACCAAAAAACCAATCTATGGCCACTCATGATAGTATCATCAGTGTCCACAAGGATGAAAGCTACGGAGTGGTCACTGGAATGGGTGACTCTGCAGTGTGTGACAAAAGGGCCAACTGCTCTATACTGAAGGAACCTATTGCTTTGTCTCAATAGATGTTACTGTCTGAGCTCTTCTGTGGGATGTACTAAGAGCAGCAAGCAGGTTATGTGCCAAAATACCAAAAATCGTGTTTTGAGAATCAACAAAAATCTCTCATTTGCCTCCAGAGAAGAGCAAGATCTGGGAAACAACCTCAAACAATGCACCAGGAGCCTGCTGTGCACGGCAATATGGGAAGATGAGTGGCCGAGTCAGAACTGGTGTAGTGATGTGATTAGATGTATTTGTACTGTGCTCTGTTGCAAATTGCATATAAACTGCTACAAATATTCATGGTCGTCCTTCATTTCCCTAATGGAGGAGGGAGGTCTCGGGATCATAACAAAACTTCAGTGAAACCCTTGTAAATCTGCCGTTGGGTCCTGCTTCTTCCTCAGTTATGAAACGTCCCAAGTCAGCTTTGTGACAAGTGACATCTCTGGTGCAGGTTCTTGGGCAACAGCATGGCACCCTCAGGATTGCAGCTTGGCTGTCTGGTCTGTTCCTCCAGAACTCTCACGTAAAAGCTTCTGTCATTCGGTTGGAGTTCTCTAGCTGAAGGCAAGCTTGGGTTTCTACCAGCTAAGTAGCAAACTCCCAGAGGTATAGCAAGGGAGAGCATTTCACCTCACGTTGAACCTATTTTTAAGTTGCTCAAATCATATCAATATACTGAACGTTCTTGGCCTCCCTCTTATGGGAGAAAGCAGTATTGCTGGAAACTCATTCCCTTCAGAGAAAGTCTCTTCAGTCCGTGTGGGTGGTTCCAAGTGTTCATGATCGTTGGTAAAGCTTTAAAGTGAACAAACTTCGACTCATTTTTGCAGTAAGTGCTACAAGTCTGTTACATTTATAAAATAGGAACGATTACTTTTGAATCAGAGCAGCCAAGAATAAGACAGCCTGATGAAACAGAGATGAAGCAGTTTGCAAGTCAGTCCCCTCCTCTCCCCCATCTTCTCAAGAGAGGGGTCTTTCACCCTCTCTTGCTTGTGTCACTGTGCTTTGCTAACTCACAGGATTGACAGCCTCCAAGCACCCAGGAGACGCTGCTCTCCACCAGTTTAGCAGCCCCTTACCTCGCTGCTCCCTTCTCTTCTTGGTGGCCTCCCCAGGGCAGTGAGACAACACAGTTGAGCTGATCTCAGATCTCACTGCTGCTTGGTAAGGCAGCAGAAATCACATCCCACTCCATGCACAGCCCTGATTCTGCCTCTCTGACTGTTTCTCTGCCTCCTGCCCTGTCTCCATGGCTTTCTCCCAGGTACTCTCCAGAAGCTGCAGCTTCCCCTCTGTGACATGGCAAGCAGCAGCTCTCCCTGCAGCCCAACCATGGCCTTGGTAGACTAACAGGGGTGTGCAGTAAGTTGTGATCAATCAAACAGAACAGTCAGAGCTCATCCCAGCTGAGTTTTCTTTTTGCAAAATCAGCTAATATGGAGAAAATGGACAGAAATTCACACTTTTGCTTCCCAGTTGAAAAGAGCTAGTGTATAGACTTTTTATTTTCCTATCATATAAATTGCTCTAACAAAAGATACACTCTATCTTACATTCAACTCTCTTATTCTTCCTAGTACCACTATTACATTTTATCCAGCTAGAAGTCCTTGACATTTCTCTTTTATAGCCTGAAATACCCTCCCCTTCCTTAGAAAATACATTCAGAAGCCTGGCCTGTACCTGGAAATTAAGCAACAGCCCATCTTGGTACCTTCCTGTCAGTGTTACTGCCAGTGACTTGAGCTGCATCTGTACCACCCATCATGGCTGTTCTTATTCCAGGAACCTTCCATGCCCAAACACACTCCAGCACACTCCAGGCCACCACGGTGACTGGCAGTGTGAGCCCACAGCTGTCCCAGCCAGCCTGTACCAAGGCCTGCACTTCAGCCCTCCACTGCCCTGACTGCACCTTCCTGCACCTCCTGGGTGCTGGAAGTGGGTAAAGGAGCTCCTCATGGAACAGCAGGGGCTGGCCACTCCCCAATGGACAGGAGCTGGGAGGGACAGCACAAGGCAAAGGATCATAGAATCATAGAATCATGGAATCATAGAATCATAGAATTGCTCAGGTTGGAAAAGACCTTAAAACTCATCGATTCCAACCACAACCTAACTAAACTACCCTAACTCTAACAGCCCTTCACTAAATCATGTCCCTGAGCACCACATCCAAACGGTTTTTAAACACATCCAGGGATGGTGACTCAATCACCTCCCTGGGCAGCCCATTCCAGTGCTTAACAACCCCTTCTGTAAAGAAGTCCTGATATCCAACCTAAACTTCCCCTGGCTCAGCTTGAGGCCATTTCCTCTCATCCTGTCACCAGTGGGAACAGACCAGCCCTGCTCTGCTGGAAGCACCTTTCAGGTACTGGAAGAGAGCAATAAGGTCTCCCCTCAGCCTCCTTTTCCCCAGACTGAACAGCCCCAGTTCCCTCAGTCTCTCCTCACAGGCCATGTTCTCCAAGCCCTTCCCCAGCCTTGTTGCCCTGCTTTGGACCTGCTCCAGCACCTCCATGTCCTTTCTGTGCTGAGGTGCCCAAAACTGAACGCAGAACTCGAGGTGAGGCCTCACCAGTGCTGAGCACAGGGGCAGGATGACTTCCCCAGTCCTGCTCACGGCTCCATTCCTGATACAAGGGAGATGCCGGCCAGGACTTGTCCTACCGTAACCTCTGTGCATGGTGAGCAGTGCAGACCCAGGAGCTGCAGCCAGACCCAACTGAGAGTCTGAGCCAAAGGGAAGTCCTTGGTGACAAGGCAGGTCTAACATCAAGCTGGGAAGTCAATCTACAGGTGATGGCCAGGCAGATCCATGGTGGTGTGACAGGACTGAGGTTATGCCGGTGAGTCAGTGATTGGCTCAACAGGCACACAGACCTTTGGTGAGCTGGAGGTGGGCAGTCCTGGCCATAGGCTGCTCAGTGCTCAGGCAAGGCCGCTCTTGTAAGGGCTCATGCATTTTGATAACTACAGCAATCACAGAATCATTTATCTTGGAAAAGGCCTCTTACATCATCAAGTATGTCTGTTATCCCAGCACTGCCATGTCTCCCACTAAACCACGTCCCGAAGCACCGCATCTGCACATCTTCAAAATAGCTCCAGGGTGGGGAGTTTGCAGTTCGCTTCACTAAAGTCTTACTATGTAAGTTTTCACGTTTATTTCCTGTTTATTGCCTCAGATTTTTTTCCTCAAATTATCTGATTTTCTTCCTGGTACATGACTTATTGCGGAAACACAGAAACGTCGGCACGAGGGATGTCAGGACAGCTCCAGTCCAGCACCCCACCCGCAGCAGGACTACCGGCACCAGCAGCTCAGCGAGCTCAGCCCAGGCAAGCCTCGGAAACCCGCAGGGTTTGAGGTCCCACAGCCCGCCGGACACCGGCTGCACGGCCCCGGCAGGACGAAAGGCGGCCGGCCCGCCCCCCCCCCGGCGGAGGCGGAGAGCCGTGCCGCCATGGCGGGGCTGCTGTGGAGGCTCTGCAACCTTCTTATGGCCGCCTTCTTCGGGCTGGCGGCCGCCGTGCAGGTGAGGGCGGCGGGCGCGACGCCGTGCCAGGCGGCGGAGCTCGGGCTCCCGGCGGTACCGCGCTCCGGCGCAGCCCCGGGCCCCCGCACGCCGCTCCCCTCCGCGTCCCGCCCGCCGAGCCCGGCCCGGCCCGCCCGGAGGCCGCAAGGGCTCAGGGTGCGCTTCCTCGCCGCAGGTGAACGACCCCGACGCCGGGCTGTGGGTGGTGAGTACGGCCTGGAGCCCCGCGGGGCTGAACGCGGAGCGCTCCGGTCCCGCCCGCCCCGCGCCGCCGCCTGCGCTCGCCGGGGCTCAGCGGCTCGGCTGGCTGCTGCCAGCGCGGGCCTCCGCGGGGATCCCGAGCTCTCCTCAAAGTTAAAGAAGACTCGCTCTTTTCTGTCTACTGCTGTCGTTCTCAGGAGCGGCCGCCGGTGATCCTGGGGCGGCGTGAGCGGGGCTTGGAGCCGCAGCGGCCAGAGGGGTCCGTGGGTGGCAGGAGCCGCGGGTGGGTGCGGGCCGACCCTGGCCCTGCCGTGGCCCTGCCGTGTCTTTGCCGTGGCCCTGCCGTGTCTTTGCCGTGGCCCTGCCGTGGCCCTGCGCTCCCCGTGCATCCCTTAAGCGGTGAGCCCAGCTGGCAGGGCCAAGGCCGCGATGCGGGATCGGGGGCTGCTGCTGTTCCCACCCAGCACGGTTGGGGTGTGGAGGGCAGTTCTTCGCAGAGCCTCTCCCGGGGAGAACCACAGTGCAACCCTGGAGCTGGGGCATGATGTCTGGCACTTGGCTGACCTCTCCCAGCGGTGTCACACAAGGATTTTGGGTGGCAGGTGGGGGAGCACTGGGTTTCTTCTGTGCACAGGGTAGAGAGCTGCAAAAGGGAGAGAGCTGTACAGCTGCTTTGTGCATCTCACAAAATGCTGTGGAGAAGTTGCTATGGGTGACTACATCTGCTTCCTTAGCTTGCTAAGTTTGTGTTTGATTAACAGGTTGTCTACTTGGTGCCGGCTGCCCTTACACTGCTTGTTGTCCTTAACCCTTTGGTAACAGGTATGATATTGGTGTGTAAAACAGAATCTCTGCTCAGTTTTTTTCCTTGAAAAGTTTATTTTCACTGAATCACAGGTCAGGTTGTATGGACACGTGTCCTGATACATTTTGTGTGCAGAAAGCTGAGGAACCTGCTTCTGCTGAAGGTAGTATTAGTATTTGTTATTGGAAATGCTGCAAGCAAACACAGGAGCTCCACTTAAAGGGTTGCCACTGGGTTGGTCTTACCAATATACCTTGATTCAAGCACTCATGGAGCAAATGGAGCACAATCCTGGGAGCATGTTCTGAACCTGGCTCTGTTGTTGACCTTAGTACATAGTTTAATCCATGCAGTCTCTTGTTGTAAAGTTGGGTTTTTGCTTATCTGTGTCATATACAAGCTGTTAAGCTCTGTACAATGCTTTAAGAGAGCTAAAGGTCTTTTTTAGGATCAAGTACTACAGCTGCTCCACACGCACAAAGGCTGATGCTCGGAGAAGTCTGTGCAGTGACTGAGGTTTCAGTGTTGCACACTGAGGGCTAACCTATATGAGGTGTTGAAATAATTGTTCAGATCAGATATGGTCCAGGACTCCAGAAAATAATTCTTAATTTTTAAAGGACTGTTACAGAAAAACGTAAGAAAACTCTCCAAACCAAATGATAGTTTAGAAAGCCAACACTGGTTTATTGCAGTGCTGGGTGCATGGGGATCCTTCCACAAAGCATGCACACCCCAGAACTAAATCACCCTCACTGTATGCATTTAACGTAAGAATATTCATACAATTCCCATGAAGTTCTTGCCTACATTCAGAATTGTCATACATGTTAAATCCAACATTGCACCTGCACTGTTCAGTCAAGGGGTTCTTGCAAGGGGTCTCTTAGTTGGTCTCTTAGTTTACCCATAGGTAGTACTGATGTTGAAATACACAGATTGCACTTTGGAACCTCCTTCTCTCCTAGATTGCTCTTTGTTGCCTTCCCACAATGTTTGCACAAAGGGACCTATTTTTTGAATTACAAACTAAATTGTTTAAATCTTTGGTATCATGACTATTGTCAATTAAAGTAACTGTATCTTCTCTAAGTGAACATTTAATATGATTTGGAATTACACTTCTACCAGAAAGGATAATCTTCAGGAGCACAATCATTGTCACAAATCGTACCATTACAATCTTTCACCTTAAGCATACAATGTGGCACCATTCATGAAACCAGAACCCGTGAGAATTGCTGCCTGTGTTTTCAGACATTCCAGGGGAGGCTTGCAGTAGGTACAGCCTCAACATAGTGGCATTCAACTGGTTAGGAGAACCTGCAAGCTAATCTACAGGTATGTTACTTGCACCACAATCTTTAGGAAATCTAGATTAAAACTGCACAACTGTTGTGTAATTTGACATTTATGTAAATTCAGCAAGTGGTCTTTGTCACTCAGGCCTGTGGAACCTCAGATGCAGCCTCTGCAGAGCTGCAGTGAGTTTACTGTGGGATTGATTATGAAGCTTGGTCACACTGAGTTCTTGAATTTTGGCAGCCCATCATTTTTCACGCTTGCCTGGAGAGGTCAGTGCCTAGGAAAGACTGCTTTTGACTTCGCAGTGTTTGCTACGGACATTGCTGAGATCAGCTGGAGCTCAGCATGTGTCATTTGTTCACCTCTCCTCCTTGAGGGAGTGGACATGGAAAGCGAGAAGAAACCGTGGGTCCATTCAGATTTTTCATGTCTCTGTTTTTCTCTTTAAAACATCAGTCCCCAGCCCTGAGACAGAGGTGTCACTGTTGCTCATGATCACTGGCAAAAGGTCAGATGGAGACTTGTCAGGGAGCATGAAGGCAGATGCTCCTTGTGCCATGGTGTTAGCACTGCTGGTCAGAGCTGTGAGCGTGCACTCCAGAAGAGCTGTTTCCCCTAATTAAGCAAACTCCCATTTGTAATCTGCCTTGTGATTTTCTGTGCATGCTGAATGCTGGAACATGTTTTGCTTGCTTGGGCTAACAGGAAACCATTTTCTTTGCAGCACTGCTGCCAAGAAGTTGCATTCCTGGGAAGGAAGACCCCAGCTCGCTAACGTACAATTTCAACAGCACTTTCTAGCAGCTTTCCGTAATCATACAGATGCTTGTATTAATTCTGTCTTCCTGCCTAGGGCATATGTACTCACTGCAGGCATTTCTGTTAGCAGCTTAGTTACTCTTCAATTCACAGAATGTACTTCATGCTACATTGCAGTTCCTGCCAGCTTATTTTTTTCCTCAGAAAACTTTTTTTGGAGGAGTCTCTGTGACCTTCATTCTGCTGGCTGTATTATTGGGACCATTTCCTTGGCTTACTCTTTGTTTGCATATACTCAAGGAAACTTTTTGCACGAAGAGGAAGGCAGGTAAGTACCGAATTCCCCTGACAGACTTTGGTTCACCAGGCTATCTCCCAGTGGGTCACATTGCTAAGCTTTGTTGGCCTGCTGCAGTGGTGCTCTTGGTTCTGGCAATTCAAACCAAAGAGGAAGGAACACAGCATTACAAACCAGCAGTCTGTTGAATAAAAGGACTGAAAGGCAGATAAAGGATCATGCCTGAATCCTACCCAACTGAGGCAGCTAGATTTAATTGGGGACAGTTCTGGCTTTCAGAGACCACAGCACAGTACTGTGAAATAGCTGTGTATTGTGCTACAGGAACTGTAGAAATAGCATTTAGTGTTAAAAACTCTTGAAGCGATACTGTTTCTGTGCTTAACTGTCACAGGCTGCTGAGTCCTCTGAATTGTTGGGTACCAAGGAGGAGGGAGGATCTTTCACCTGGATATTCCTTTGATTGCTTGGCTAAACTGGGTGCTTGCTCAACACAGAGGGGAAGCAGTAGCAGCTAGCTCTTCTGTTTACAGTGAAGAGTAGTGGAGTGTTGCTTTGCTTTATATATATTGATGAGGGAAATGTGCTACAGAAGTTTATTTTTATATTTAGTTTATTTTTATATTGAAAAATTTATATTTTAGTTTTTTATAGTTTATTTTTATATATGTGGTTTTTTTTTATAGAAGGGATTTTTTATATTAAGTTTAGCAATGGAACAAAAGCAGAAGCAGGAAGTTCTGCAGCTGTACAGCTGAGTTACGTGTTTGTAGATTTGAGAAGGGAGGCAATACTGTAATTGTAAGTGCAGTCCCTATAACATATATTTAACATCTCCAAGGGGAGACAGCCCATACTTACCCTATTCTTTTGGAGGCAATTTGCATTTTTCATAAGCAAGCAGATGTTTCCGTTATTTTCTGATCTAGTTTTTGTTTGGCTTTTTAGAGAGTTGTTTGGTCTGGTGATCATTACAACATGGATGAGTCTTTGTCGCAGTTCAGCAAAGTAAGTTTTTCTTAATGCACTCATATGTTCAGATTTACTGAGTAGCTTCTTGGAAACCTGTAGCTAATTTTGGCTGTTTGTTCTTCTACTTCATGTTTTGATGTTTGCGTGGTCCTCTGTGGAGCCAGGATCCTCTCCAGCTCAGGATGTTCTGTGATTTTCTGATTCATGTTACTGTCTAAATCTTAATCCTCAACAGTAGTATTTGGTGCTGCAGCTTGTAGGATCCTTTACACCTAGAAGTCTGCAGAAGTGGGAGAAAGGAAAACTTAAAACATTTTTTTTTCTTGCTTCTTCTGCAGTAATGAGCAGGAGATACATTCCTCTTTTGTACAAGGACAGTGTGCTCTTTCTGTGGAACAGGCCAGTGAACATGAGCCACAGCTGCTAATGAAAGCTACAAAACCATTTCTATCATTGCTCCCACATTAAGAACTTTCCAGCAGGGGTTTGTCTAATGGGGTCTGCTGCGTTCTGCCAGCACAAACAGGGATACAAGTGCTTTCCCTTCCAGCCTCTCTGGAGATCTGTACTACAGCAGTTTCACTAAATTAATTTGTAACAGCTGGCAGCATGAAAAGTTGCAGGCTGCCAAGCAATATTTTGTAATGTTGAAACATGCAATATGCTCTGGGCAGTGCTTTTGTCACCTGTTTTATATAGCCTGCGGAGGTGGCAGAACACATTTCTGCTGGCATATGGTATGGCTCCACTAAAGGACTCTGCTGATGCAGCTATAGAAGCTACGTAGAGATGACACAGTGGCCAAAGGATCTCTGCTGTCTTTAGCCAACCACAGCCACGGGAGTGGTAGCAGTTTGATTTGAAACTGCACTGTTGCATTTGCTTCTTTGTAGGAATCCGCTGGGTGGAATTCATTTGACTGCTGCAATCTTGGTTGCTCTCTTCCCCTTTGTTTCATGGCTGTACATTTATATGAACAAAGAGATGCGAGAATCTTGGCCAGAACACTGTAAAACTGTGATTTGACCTGGTGGAGACAGCACATAAATAAATGTTCTGACCTTATTTGCTGCTGCTTTTTGGTTCTTAATGAAAGGTTAGTATCAGTTTGATAGGACAGGAACGTCTGGCTGCTTCCCACAGTGTGGCTTGAGGTTTCCAGAAAAAAAAACTGAAGAACATTGTGAAATCCAAGGGGAGAACTTTTCTATGGATACTGTTCAGCCTGCTTCTTTGGATGTTTTCAAAGCATTGTTGACCTTCTGTGTGTTCTAAGGTTAATTATTCAAAATATCTAGGCATCCCCAGTTCAGTCTCTCCTTCTACCTCGTATCTGGGAAAGCTGTTGTTCTGTAACATTAAGGGAAAAGTAGATCAAACACTTTGTTTCAATAAATGACTCATTCTGGATATAAAACTTGAAAAACGTCTGCCAAGATAATCCACTGAGATTTGCTGAAAGATGAACCAGTCTGTGCTTCTGTTCCTACGCTAAAATTTTAAGTGGAATATATCTGAAGCAATATTTTTTGTTATTACCTTTAACTGAAAGTCATGGTTTTGACAGAGTAGTAAATACTATTTTTCTAAAGAAAATCCAGTGAAAGCTTCTGTATTTTCTGCAAAAAGCATGCTCACAGAGTGCCACCAGCAGACACGATCACTATTACAACCTGCTTCTCACAGAACTTCTGTTCCTGGAGATCAGAACTGATGCAGCATCCCAGAGACAGTAAGCATGCTCCATCATCACCAGTCATAGACAAGGATGCACAGGTGAGTGTGAGTACTCAGGCTGTGGAAGACAGCATGGATCCAGATGCAGCACAGCAACACACTTCACGTCATCCTAAGTCAGAGCTCAGAGTTTGTTCCCTCAGTGCTGCTGCAGGCCAGGCACACATGTATCCCACCTGCTGTATCTGCAGCATTACATGATACCCTAGTTTTCCTGCCTTTATTTTATTTTAAAGCTTGGGCATCTCTGCACTGTGCTCTGATATAACATAGACAGTGCCCATTTTCATTGTTTTCACTTTTTTCAAAATGACTTCAGTCTTTTAAAACAGCATGAAGAAGACAGGTTAGACTTTCCAGCTAAATGTATGTAGCTGCTTCTGCACGGGTACAATTTTGAATGCTTTAAGTCAGACTAAATCAAGTATATCCTGGAAAAACAAAACTACCAACTAGTGGCTTTTTGTTTGTTTGTGTTTTTTTTCACAATAAATAACAATCTGTTCAAGACTGGGTGGTTATGTCAACAATTTGCATTCTTCAAACACGGTTACTGGCCTTCTCTGTTCTCCAAAAAGTTAAGTTTTGTTCCTTAAAAAAACACAATTTTTAGAGTTCTGTATCTGAGATAGGAACATGAGAGTTAAAACTGTAAGGATCAGCCATGTAGATCTTTCTACAAGCAAAGAACATGCTAGATCCCGTACTTTTTAGAGTACTTCCTGAAGAAGAATTTGCATTTAGACATCTGCTTGGCATTTTCAGAAACACATCACTCTGTCTGAAATTCTACCCCTTCCCTTTAATACCATTTTATCATCATAGACATAAATAGTTCCAAAGGCATTGCTTTCAGGTGGAGTTTCAATAACCCCTTCCAAAGTCAGATGATGAACACCATGTGAGTCTAAACAATAGCCACCATCGTGCTGGTGCCCTGCAAGAACGCAGACCACACACTGATGAGAGTGTATGACAGAAAGGGCATCTCTGTAATTCCAGGCTAGGCAAACTTCGTCTGAAGCATCTGGGTGAATGGGCAGATGACCTGCAGCAGGGAAAGAAGCAGAAAAGTTACTTAACACATAACAGAATCACCAAGGTTGGAAAAGATCTCAAAGATCACCCAGTCCAACCATCCACCTACCACCACTATACCTCATCTCTCAGTACAACACCTTGAACACCTCCAGGGATGGTGTGCTCACCCTGGGCAGCCCGTTCCAGCGCCTGACCGCTCTTTTGGAGAAGAAATTTTTCCTAACATCCAACCTGAATCTCCCTTGGTGCAACAAGAGGTCATTCCCTCTCGTCCTATTGCTAATTACAGGGGAGAAGAGGCTGACAACCCCCTGCAGGAGGTTATGGCAAGGTGGGGGTTGGCCTCTTCTCCTGTGTAGTGCCCAGTACCCATACCTCCTTGTTTGGGGATTCTCTATATAAACAGAACCACTTTGGTCTGGAGTGCAGGAAAAATCAGGGCATCTGTGAAGTTCTTGTATTTCATTTCTTTCTCCCTTCCAAATATCTTTCATCTTCTTCTTTATACAGCATCTTCATTTCAGAATATTAGGTCCCAGCTCAACAATACTCACAGACACTGCAAGATTGCTTCTGGAGGGTTGTGGATGCCCCATCCCTGGAGGCATTCAAGGCCAGGCTGGATGTGGCCCTGGGCAGCCTGGCCTGATTGTTGGCAACCCTGCACGAGGTTGGAACTAGATGATCATTGTGATCCTTTTCAACCCAGGCCATTCAACGGTTCTATGAATCAAACTGCTCCCAGACAAGCAGCTTTCCTGGGTGGGAAGCTCAGGCTGCTGCCTCTATCCAACAAGCTCACCCGAGTGCGACACAGCTGCTATTCTCCAACTACACCACTTACATACGCTCCTATGATACTATGTTTTCC